TGTCTTTTAGATACAGTAAGAAGGGGTTAACATAGTGAGCAGTGTCCTCCATATATGGACATCCAGTTTTCCCAGCACCATTTATAGATGTTATCTTTCTTCCAATGTGTATTTTTGGCATGATTGTTAAATACCAGGTGGTTGTAATTATGTGTACTCATATTTGGGTCTTCTAATTTGTTCCATTGTTCTACATGTCTGTTTTTGTGACAATGCCATGCTCTTTTTATTATATAGCTCTATAGTATGTCTTGGAATCTGGTATGGCAACCCCTCTAGCATTATTATTTTTGCTCAGGATTGGTTAGGCTTTCCAGGATCTTTTATCTTTCCATATTAATTATAGAATTTTTTTCTGCTTCAGTGAAGAATGTCATGGATCTTGATTGATATTTCATTTAATCTGTAAATTGCTTTTGAAAGGATGGTCATTTTAACAATATTAATTCTACCGATCCATAAGAATAGGAGATCATTCCATCTTCTAGTGTCTTCCTCGAACTTTTTCTTCACAGATTTGAAGTCTTCATTGTAGAGGTCTTTCACCTGCTTGGTTAAGTTTATTCCTAGCAATTTTTAAAGGCTTTTGTGAATGGGAGTATTTACATGATCTCTTTCTCACCATGCGTGTTATTGGTATATAAAAAGTCTACTGATTTTTGTTAGTTGATTTTGTATCCTGCAACTTTGCTGAAAGTGTTCCTCATTTCTAGTTTTCTGGCGGAATTTTTTAGATTTCTTATATATATCATCTTCAAATAGGGATAATTTTACTTCTTTTCCTATTAGAATCCCTTTAGTTTCCTTCTCTTGTCTTATTGCTGTAGTTAGGGTTTCAAGAACTATACTGAAAAGTAGTGGAGATAATGGACAGCTTTGTCTTGTTTCTGGTTTTAATGGGAATACTTTGATTTTTTTCTCTGTTCAGAATGATGTTGGCTGCGAGTTTGTCATTATATACTTTAGTATGTTGGCATATATTTCCCCCTATCCTGTTCTAAGACTTTCATCATGAGTACATGTTAGATTTTGTCAATGGCCTTTGTACTTCTATTAGAGAGGATTAGATGATTTTTGCCTTTAAGTCCATTTTATGATTTATTAAATTTATTAACTTACATATGTTAAATGACCCTTGCATCTCCAGGATAAAGCAACTTGGTCATGGTATATGATCTTTTTGAAATATGCCTATATGTACTTTGCAAATATTTTGTTGAGAATTTTTGCATCTGCATTCATTGAAGATATTGGCTTGCAGTTTTCTTTCTTTGCTGTATCTTTAACTTGTTTTGGTATTAAAGAACTACTGGACTAGTAGGAGTTTTGAAGTGCTCCCTCTGCTTCTATCTTTTTGAATAATTTAAGCAATATTGGATGTAGTTCTTCCTTGAAGATTTGGTGTAATTCTGCTGTGAATACATCTAGTTCTGGACTTTTTAGTCAGAAGGCTTTTTATTGCTGTTTAATCTACTTACTTGTTATGGCTCTGCTTAAGTTGTTGACCTCTTCTTAGTTTAAGTTTGGTGGGTCACTTGAATCTAGAGATTCATCCATTTCTTTTGGGTTTTCTAACAATGAAGTATGGGTTTTTAAAGTATTTTCTTTTAAATTCCTGAATTACTTTGGTGTCTGATTCTGTTAATTTGGGTTTCCTCTTTCTTTTTGTTAATTGGGCTAAGGGTCTGTTGGTCTTGTTTATCTTTCCAGTGCGTTAGGGATATCTTGCCGGACCAGTCATTGTTGTGGTTCATAAACTTTATAACCTGTAGTACTATTGATTGTTTTTCTTCATTGGCAGCTTGTGTCGCACCTTCAGGCACTATGAGAGCTGGTCCTCAGGAGCAGGCTTCCATGTCAGTTCCAGATAATTTCTCCAAGTCCTATGTCTGAAGTGTGTGATGTCTTCACAATAGGGGCTTACCTCAAGTTCTGGGAGGCAACCAAGGGCAATGATAATAGCCTATATTATTTGGGGGGAATCTCTTGGATTTCCTTGTCCAACAACTTGAAGGGATGTTTCCCATGCCTGGCACTAGGGTTTTTGTTAGATAGTCTTTGGCTTTGGGAGGGGCTTTGCATGTATTTTTAAGAGTATAAAATAATATGTTTATGGCTTTTTCAAACATCCTCAGTGTTAGTTCATTCTCCTTCCTCCCTTGCCCTCTGTATTGCCCTCCTTTTTCCCTCCCCAATTAAAGTCTCCTTCCCCATTTTTCTTCTTTTCCTTTTTATAGCACTTGTAAAAAACCTCTAAAATTATTTTAAGCCAGTCAAGAGCAAGTAAAACCAGAAAGCTTTTCGGTACACCCTCAGCTGTGATCATGTGCAAAAATCTTTCAACATTTGATAGATTTGCTAGATATAAAATTTGAGGTTCACAGATTATTTTCCTTTGTTATTTTTTTCTTAGTAAAATAACTTTATTTGAATGAAAACCTATAAAGCTAGATCTGATAAATGGAAAACATGCATACTGTATCTTAATTAACAGCTATAAATATAGGTAAAACATGTTAACAGGCCTGTGCTTCAGTAACAAATTCAAATAAACCATTTGCTAAAGTTTTTTACAGTATATATTTTTATTGAATTTTTGTGCATCTCATACAATGCATCATAATCATATTTACACCCCCCTCTCCTACCTGCACTCCGATAGCCACACACACACCAGATCTCATGCATTCTTATATGTATGTTAAGGCCTATTGAGTCAAGTTTGTGTACCCAGATGTCCCTCATGTGAATTCATCCACTGGAGTCTAGTCAATCTGTCTAGAGTCTATCCCTTAAAGATCAGCTCTCTCTCACCCAGCAGTAATCAGTTGCCAGTAGTTCCTCAGCTAAGGTTAGGGCCTCTTGCCCATTTCCCCAACTCTATGCTGGGTTTTTGTCTGATTGAATTTGCGTTGGTCTTGTGTATCCTGTCTCTGTTGCTGTAAGTTCATATGAGCAAGTTCCCAGAAGCCTGGAAGATTCAGTTTCCTTATGATCATGCGCCAGTTTTGGCTCTTACACTCTTTCCACCCCCCTCTTCTGCAATGGTCCCTGAGCCATGGGTGGGTGAGTTTTAACACAGAAGTCCTACTCAGGACATGCACTTTAAAGAAATCTTTTAGTTCGTATAGTTTCTCATGAGTTGTTGTTTTCTTTTTTACTTGTGTAGGAAATATATTTTTCTTTCTACTTGGTTTTAACATTTTCTCCTATCATTAGTTCACAGCAATGTAATCATGACGTTTATATTTTCCACATTTATTCTGCTTAGGATCTTTTGAGCTTCTTAAATCCATATGTTTATGTTTGTCATCGATTTTGTCTGTAATTTGGAAATTTCATTTCAACTATGCTTTCTCTAGCCCTTCTTCCCAAAAGCTACATCTACTAATATGTAAAAACTGCTGTTTAGTGTATTTTCTCCACTTTTCTAGTTTAAGGTAGATTGAGTCAAATTTCTTTATCAATTATATAGCAACTACTCCATGACTTCCCCAATATTAAGATATAACTTTCTAGTTTCTCACTTTTAAATTCCAAGACAGACATCATTATTTAATGTTGTTATACATTCTAGTTGCATATTTTTCCTGAGTATTATATTTGAAAACTCCATCATGTCTATAATCAGCATTCTTTGCATTTCAATATTTAAAAGCCCATATTATAATATGTATACTATTACATTTGCTTATATTAAGATTAATTATTCCTTTGCATGGAAAAACTTCTAAGTACTTAAAAACAGTTTTATGATTTGAATCTCATGAAACTCATGAACTAGATAAATAAGATAGTATAATCCCCATTATGAAATAAAAAATTAAGGCCTAGTAAAATTCATTAGTTTCCCTCAAAGTCACAAAACCAATAAATCAAGCAGATAAAAACCAGTTCATATCACCTCTGACTCTCATAACAATACTTTCTCTGTATTTCAAAGTTAGTTTTACTAGAATACAAAGAACTATTTGAACTAGCAAAATAGTTAAGTAAGTAAAAGTGGGGGTTTGTCATATTTTGTTGTTTAATTTGTGACAGAGTGGAAAGAGCCAGATTGAGGATATGCAGATAGTTTTTTAAATAAGAGTTAATCTACATAATAAAATAATATAGAGTGTCTATACAACATATAAGCCATAGTCATACAACTAATATATCTTGTTTAGAAAGAAAAAAAACCCCACAAAATACAATAGTTCAGCTAGAGGGCATTTTACAAATGGACAGATATGAGAGTTAATATATGCTTAATTGTTCAAATAACCAAAATACCTTCTTAGGAAAGCTGTTTTAATTAATCAGTTAATAAACAAATCAATTTTTTTCTTTTAATACATGGGAGAAAGCAAAGAACAAAACGATGAAAAAGTTAAATTTTTATAAATCAAATTCTGGCTTCTTATATCTACTATGGTGTCAAACCTTAGATGTATGCCAGGCATGGTGGTACATGCCTACAGTCCCAGCATTTGAGAGATAAATTTAAGAACACTGCAAGTTCAAGGACAGCCTGAGCTACATAGTGAATCCTGTCCAGGAAAAAAAAAAATGAAAAGAAAAAGATAAAACTGAAAAAGGAAAGAATTAATTTGGAACATAGTAATCACATTCTTATTTGTAAAGTACATCTAAATACATACTAAGTATTAATATCTATTAAGGTGTTCCCCATTTCTTGACCTGTCTCCCTTACATAGGAAAAAGAATTTTATGTCATTCTTCTGTGAAAATATAAGGTTAAGTTAAAGAGTGTATTACTAACCACAACTTATATTATTAAACTGCTAATGAAATATGATTGCAATTCATTCATATTTTTGCAGTAATCAGTCATGTTTATTATACTAATTCAATCTATACTACAGAAGATTTGTTTTATCACTTTAAAATACCAATCACTGCTTGATGTCCCCAATCTTAGATTACTTTCCAGTCATCTTAAAGATAAAAATAACCTCGCTTGTGATACATCCTAGCTCTTTTTGTCTTCCTCTCAGAGTTGCATTTGGAAACTGTAATGGGTTGGTTATCGTGGATTTTATACAGAAGACAGTACTGTTAAGCATGGGGACCATAGACCTATACAGATCAAGTGACCTATACCAGCGCCAACCGCGGTCTCCTCGAAAAAACAAGCAGTTCATTGCAGGTAGGAAGAAAACAAGATGGGTTATGACCTTGATTTCTTCATCTGCTTTTTTACTTTCAGATTGTTTTTCTTGTGTGACACTATTCAAATGCATGACTCAATATGTAAGTAAAACGAATTGGGGGAAAAAATCAGAAAAATCTCTGAACAGGCATGAGTCGTATTTAGAGTTGAATTTGCTATTTAAGTTAGGAAGCATCACACGCTTCTTGGGTTAGATTCTTAAGACAAAACAGAAAATAAGAAGCTATTGGATAAATGCTATGAAAATCTACTTACAATTTTTATAGTAAATAAGTTAACTTTTCTCTCATATATTTGGCACCTTTGAAAATATAATTTAACATCATTAATTACTTTTAATTTTAAAAATAACTATATTCTAGCTGTCCTATTTTTTAATTAATGATAACTAATTAGAAATATTTTCATAAACATAATAAATATTATTCATTGTCACATTTTAAATGCTATGAAAGATGCATTTCTTTTCTTAGCATGGTAAGCAAATTAGTTTATATAACTATAAAAAAAGAAACAAGATTAATTAGGATATAATACCAAACTTTGATAGTCTGAATTGCCCAAAATTTTACTGGAATTTCAAATTCAGTAGCTTTATAAGCTGAATTTCAAATCAGTTAGCTTTATAAGTAAGAATCCTTAAATTTAAGTATCCTTAAATTTTGTAATTTTTATGTCAACTGGAATAGTGTTATAAAAATTAGGTAAAAGGTTTGCTTCTATACTGTTATGTATTATTTTAGAAAATTCTTTTACATTTCCTATTATTTTTAAATAATCAACTTAATGTTGACTTTACTAAATATACTCATAAAAAGAATATTTTATAATAATAATGTAAAACTCATATAATGATAGTTATTATTTTCCAGATAGTAGATGTGTCAAGTAAACTGTGATAATAATGAATTTCCCTTTTGGGTTAATGATGTTTGATATACTGAAAGTCTTCTTTGTAAACTTTTGTCTTGTAAACATTAATGCTCACTAATTTAGATGCTTTTTAAGCATAATATTGTTCTTCAGAACCTGCCAGGTTTTTGTTAGGAATGTCAAATTTTAACAATGTCTTAGGAGTCCTGAAAAGTTCTGTGTGTTCTGCCTCTACCACTACTAGCTTTTGAAAGACAATCAGAGAAAGAAATAGAGTACATACATATACCATAGTACTCCTTCGTGTTTGGGAAAGAGAAGGTTGATATGTGAAAGTTCAAAATGTCTATATCTATGATAGAAAGATGTTAGGGGCCAGGTGAGAAGAAACTGTTGCAATGCTGTAAGCACCTATTGGTCAGAAATGCTGTGTATCTTCCGAGAGCATCTCAGTTATTTGCTGGAGATCCACTTTGGGGTGGAATAGTGAATATTTTGACAAAATAAAACTTATTTAAATCAAACTTGAGCCTCAACAATAATGATCACAGCCTAGAACTTCGATGACTTTTAATGTAGTGAAAAACTGATAAAGTTATAAGCTGTTTCTATTTTAGTGTATAAGAAAATTGAAATGACTGCATACTTTATATATCCTATAAACATAAATTAAAAAATAAAGCACCTAAGTTTTCTTTTTAATTGAGCAAAGATTAAATATAATAATTTGGTACTAACAGTAATTTTTATAGAGTATTACAATCTAAGTAAGTCCACAATGGTAAAAGTATATAAGAAGAATATGCCATCAATTTTATATGATATTTGATTAAAATTGCTACAGCATTTTCATCATTCATCTATCACCTTTCTAATTGATTTATTTTTAAAATATCTCTTCTCTAATTTGATTGCCTAATCTTGCTGTAATTTCTTCATCTTGGCTGGTATGATATCACTTCCTTTCACTTTAGACTATTTTTCTCTCTTTCCTCTGCCTGCTGCTGATGCTGGTGCTCTGGCATGTTCCAAAGACAACTTTTGCATGCGTGGGCTGTCTAACTTTTATCCTGATTTAACGAAACGGATCCGTACTTCCTATCAGAGTAAGTTCTATAAAGGTTAGGCAAATGGCTTTTTTAAGTTATAATGCTTGAGTTAAATCCATTCATGAGTGCTGAGTAATGTGTTTTTGTAAAACACATTCAACATGCATGCAAATTTTTGTTTGGTTATGGAAATGCAATCTGATATTTTAATAACATTTTAATTTTCATAATTTTAATTTGAAGATTTCAAATCATTATTGTTATGTACCCACTTACTCATACCCTTTGTTTCAATGTTCATTTCAAATCTTGCAGACTTTGTCCTATTAGTCTAATAGTCATTGTCTTTTGTTCCTAAAGCAGAAATAATGAACCTGACATACTATGTCAGTAATAATTTAATCCATTTTTATTTTGTAAATGTCATGCTCTTAACCATTTATAATCTGTATCTAACTAGTATGACAATGTTCTTTTATATTTCTTATATATTCTCAATTTATGATGCCTTGTATTAAAATAGAAAACACTCAAGCACATTCCTCTAGTGATTTTGGTGCCAAACTCTGTGAAGTAGACGAATTAAAGTCATAATTAAAAGGTAAATAATACTAACATCACCTATGGCAGCAAATGCAGATGTTAAGACATGGAATTAGAAATTCCAAACACTGGAGCAGAAGTGTGATGGTGTCACTGAGATACAGTGATGCTAGTGAATATTTATTGACATGAAAACATTTTTGTATTATTTTAAAATATTTTGTGAAAATCAGCTTTCTTGCTGAGTGCACAATATGTCATTATAGTTGTGTAAAATTATAAACATATATAAAATGTGTTTACATATGTATATTGCTCTAACTTTCTACTGTGCCTGTACACTCCTTTGGGATCTCTTTTCTAGGTGACTTGTGTAAAAACATTGACATCTATCTAGGCTTCTGCTACTTATTAAACAGAAACAAATCTAGGATGTTTTTTAACATTTCAAAATGATACAAAATTCAATTTCTATAATAAATTTTTATTGGAACATAGCCATACTCATTCATTCACATGTTTTCATTGACTAATTGCACATTACAATGGTAGAATTGAGTAGCTGCAAAAAATTAAATAGCCCATTAGGCCTAAAATAGTTACTATCTTACTGTTTATATTTTTAAAAAGTTTGCTGATCACTACTCTATACCATTCTTTCACACACATCCTGTGCAACCACACAGAACACTTGCAGCCCAAAACTTTCCTATAATCTCCAGACTATCTGAATACCATTTAGCTTCCTGGCAATTCAAAAATGTAAGATTCAATTTTTGCCAGTTTTTATAGCTTTATTTCTGATTTTTCTATAATAAACATATAGTGATTTATGGTCAGCAGAGACAGTGTAGACTGAGGAATTAGGAGCAAATGCAGGCCCTAAGCTCATCAGAATTCTACAGTATCAGCCATGACATAAAATTTTAAGAAGTTTTGAAAATTGCTGATACTCTTACATTTCCTTCATAATAATAAGATCAAAACTTTTTGTCTCTAACAGTGGTCTCCATGGAGGCTCATATAAATCCTAAAACTTGAAATTAGATATCCTATAATCCTCTTTTGATGATAAGCATTGTATGTTATGAAAAGGAGATTGATTCTTTAATGACTTAAAGGTATTTATTAGATAGAAATTTTATGAAAATTTGGGTTGAATTTACATTATTGGTTACTATAATCTGGTTGTATTTGTATAGGCCCACATTATTGCAATAGCCACTGTGAAGCTTTTTCATGAATTGCTTCCTAGCTTTTAGAAATAGATGTCCTTATTGTCCCTATCTGGGGAGAGAGAACCCATTTCCATGGAGGGTCCATCCTCTTTTGATTGTACTAGGTAATTTGTTTAATATTTAATGGTCATTATAAACCTTTGAGGAAATTTTGAGATTGGTTGGTTGGTTGGTTGAATGATTGATTGATTGATTGATTGACTGATTGATTGATTGATCTATCGATTGAATGATTGATTGATACCAGATGAGAAAATTAACACTGAAAGGGGTAAAATTAGCTTCTTAAAACCATAAAGAATGAGTGAGAGACAAACTTGTACCTATATAATACTAAAGAGACTCCACATGGTTTCAACTGTTATGACTCTGAGACTCCTGTCTCAAAGTTTTGAGTACATTGGAAACCAAATTCATTATTCTACAGTTGAAGCTAACCCTCTGTTTTACCCCTTATCAATAAAATAACATATTCAAAATGAAGCAATTAGATTTGTTTTTCACGTATTTAAAATGAAGAGAGATAAAGTACTCCCTAAAGTTTCATTATGTCTCTAAAATATGCTATTTTGTATTTTATTTCATTCTGTTGTGTGAGTTTAACTCTTGAGATTATGGCACATTCAACTTTGAACCTTACAATTTTCATTTCTGGAGAAATGTATTAATTTTAATAATTTATTGGACTATTTTACTGATTACCTAATCATCTAATTTAGACTCCAAGATGCTGTCTTTCATAAACCTTTAAATTCATGTTGCAACTCTGTTGTATCATAAAATGATAAAATTTTATACCTGAAAGAAAATTTTCACATTTTAAAAAATTATTGTTTGGAGAAACAATGAAATAGTGTGGAAAGAGCAGCGGCATGTGTTTAGAATTATACCAAATTTGAACACCCCACTGATTAACTGTCTACTATACTTGTAATATTAAACAAGACATTTGATAACCAAGTTTTTCTTCTAATATATAAAATAAAGTAAAAATCATGATCCCTACCTCCCTTGGATATTTGCAGAACACTTCTGGGTTAATTTTGCAAAGGAAGTCTATAACTATTAGATATTTTTATTAATATAATATATGATACAACCTAACAATAGATATGTTAAATAACTTCTAGTATAATAATCATTGTATGGAGACATTATTGAAATTCAATAATAAAATAACCAAATAAAAAAGGAAAGCTATTTTAATAAACATTTCATGAAAGAAGATATGCATATACATTGTGAATAAACAAAGAAAAGATTCTCAACAATATTTATTTAAAAATGCAGACTGAAACTGTAAAAAGTATGTATATATACACTAACATAGATGAAATAAAAAATATTGATGATACCAAGTGTTGGTAAAAATGTGACAGAACTAAAATTCTTCCAAACTATCATTGAAAACTTTAATTGTGAGTTTATAGATGGTTATTTGTCAAATTCTTAAAGAATTAAGCATTCACGTACTATCATATGATCTAGCCAGTTTGCTCCTACTTGCCATGGGGAAATGAAAGCATGTGTCCTTATGAACACATTCATAGTAGCTTTATCTATAACAATAAAAATAGAAACAAGTCAAATTTGTAATGGCCAAACTGGGCTATCAACCCAGCAATTAATATCAACACACTGTTGATAAATGCAACAGCATAGATGGATGCCAAATAATTATACTGAATTTTTAAAAAAAAGAAAAAAATGAGATATTTATCCATTCAAATAAAATTCAAAGAAATGCAAACTAATATGTAGTGACAGAAAGTGGATCAGCTATTGTCTAGGAATGAGAAAGGGTGCATCCTGGTGAAAGGTGGGTTACAAAAGAGCACAGAAAACTCTTAGACATGGTGGATGAATTTATTATGTTATTAGTAAGATAGTGTTACAAATGTATCCATAGTTCAAAATTTTCTCAAACTATATTTCATCAATATATCAATTAAATTTCAATTAAAGTTTATACTTTAAGAAAATCAGGAAAATAGTTACATGGAGAGCAAAGAGTAGAATGCAACCTTTCATGCAAGTGAACAGCTTATAAGAAGGTCTTAATGTGGTTAAGGATTTAACTCATCATCTAGACACAGAAATGTAACCAAGGGAGTTAGGAATAGAGTGAAAGAAAGAATAGTGTAAAAGAAAAGGGAAGTTGAGACTTTATTCTAGAGAGGAACAATAGAAAGATCATGCAACTTTGGAAACAATTATAAATGTTTTTCTTATGTTTAAGGAGGGGAATGATAGGCTTGATTTATGTTCTAAACATATCATCTACACTGCTATGTGAAGAAAATATTGTGGGGCCAAAAAAAGCCCTTACACCAGGTAAAAGGCCAGTAATACACTTCAGTCAGGAAATTCAAGTAGTCTCTACTAGAGTTGTAACAATGCAGTGTAAGAGAAAGGATGTTTTCAATAATTAGAATACTTACAAAGCTACTAATTGTGATTCAGTGTGGGAGATAAAAGAACAGAATCAAAGATTATTTCCTGATTTTGACTTGACTCACTGTGCCTCGATCCTACTTACAAAGATAAAGAAGCTTAAGGTAGGGACAGGTGTGGTGGCACACACCTTTCTCTGTGAGTTCAAGGCCAGCTGTGGCTACAGGAAGACCCTGTCTCAAAATGACCAAAAAAAGGAAAAAGAAAGAAAGAGAGAGAGAGAGAGAGAGAGAGAGAGAGAGGGAGGTAAAGAAAAAAATAATTTAATTTTAGAGATAGTGAATTTTGCTGTCTGTCACATATCTAAACAGACATTCAAGTGTAGAGGTTAGCAAATCTAAATATACATAAAAAGTCTAAGACCTTAATTGGAGAATAAATGAAATTATTTAGATGAGGAGAAAGCAGGATTGAGATCATGGAAAGCAATATCAGAATTTCAACATTACAGTCAAAAAGAAGAATAACTTCGAAGGAGAAGAGAAAAATTAAACAGAAGCTAGAAGAGGGGAGTATTTCAAGATGTGGTGAACTACATCAAATGCTGCACATAGGAGAGACAAGTTCAGAAAGTGCTAGTAAAGCAGAAACGTTTACTTACTCTTCAGAAGGAGTAAGTGAAAGTAGTTACCCTTCAGAAGGTAGTTTTAGAAAACTGGTGGGATAGAAACCAAAATAAATATTAGGCTAGAGAAAGCCACGTGAGGAAATAGCCCCTCTTTCAAAGTATTTGGTTATAAAGGCTATAGAAAAAATGGGTCAGTACTTATAATAAGGTATTAAAAGGAGGAGTGTTTCTTTCTCATTTTAGAAAGAAAATCATGTTATTAAGTTATGTGTATGTGAGATATCCAAAGAGATCTGTGATAAGGAATAATGGGTATAATGCCAGGAACAAAATTTATAGGAATGTGAAAGGGGACAGGAATCAGTACATGTGCCTCAATTGCATTATGCAACATCAGAGGGTCATAATAAAACTATGTTATATCATTATAATGATTGTGTGCATAGCTGTGTGAGTGCATGCCTGTTGGAGATGCACGTTCACTTGTCTATGCGTGTCTTTGAACACATGGTGCCATTCTTCATGGCCATCTACCTTGTTTTTGAGGCAGTCAGTGTCTCTCATTGGTCTTGAATTCACCAACCAACTAGTGAAACCCCAGGGATCTTCCTGTCTGCACCTCCAGCAGTATTACATGTATATGCCACCACACCTGGCTTTTTATGTTGGTTTGAGGATCATACTCAGGTCCTCATGCTTACATGGCAAGCACTTCCAGCCCTGAATCTTAGTTTTTAATCACCAGATTTTTACTTTAATTTTTAATGAAATGTTCTAGCATACACTTCATACTTTCTTGCCTATTGACTGTATTGTAAAGACCTAATGTCATCCCTCCTACCTCCTACTAAGTATATAGCCTTGGGAAATTAATGGCCTTTGCCTTTTTTCTTATCAGTGCAATGAGTAATAATATAACTTCTCTCAGGGTAAGAATTTGTTGATGTGAAAGAGATGGCTTACATAAATCACTTAACAAAGTATTAGGTACAAAATAATATCAGTTGTAGTGAACTTGTAGACATTAAGCACTCAGTAATTTTGATTGGCTCAAATTCAATAAAGTTTTCAAATTCTTTCTAAAATCTGTTGCGTTTTTCCAGCCACCTACATTGTTCACTAGTTATTATAATTATTTTCTCTCACTATTCCTTGCCTGTTGATCCAAGTTACTTTTATTAGTGTTTCTAGTTCAAGCATTCTCTTCCTTTATGTAACCTACTCTTTCTAATTGGTTGTCATTATAGCAAAGCCTATTCAAATCAGTAAAATTTCAAGGAATGTCTAAATTTCAGAGTGCTTCTGTAAATTAGTATTTATAGCTTATTTAGTTATAAACTTTTTTGTGTCCACTTTTTTGTTGTTTTTTTGTAGTGTGTGTGTGTGTGTGTGTGTGTGTATCTTTTTGAGACAGGGTCTCCCTGTAGCCCCAGCTGGCCTGGAACGTGCTATGTAGACCAGGCTGGCCTTGAACTCACAGAGATCCGCCTTTAAGGGCCCAGCTTTGTGTCCACTTTTTAACTGTAGAGTAAAAATAAATGCTCAAGATAGTTTAAGTTAATGAATGTTTACTTTCAGATTAATAGTAATACTTATATAAATAATACTATAACTATATTATGACTAAAAATAGAAATCTGAAAATGGGATGAGTTTATTAAGTTAAAAATCTTGAAAATTTTCAATTAAGTGTGAAATACAGAGAGTAACATACATTGAAGTTCATGATAAAAGCTCTATGAAGATAATGATTTTGTCTGTGACTATCTGTACAAACTTGTACTACATGTTTCAGTCAATGACAGCCCACATATATAGTGGTGATCCCAAATTATTGTGATGAAGCTAAAAAATTCCTGTCATACTGTATTTTTTCTATATCTTTTATGTGTTTAGAAACACAAGGACTTACAACTGTGTTACATTGTCAACAGTATAATAATATATTGTACAAGTGTGTAGCCTAGGAGAAACAGCCCATATAGCCTGGCTGTTTCAAAGTCTATTTCATCTAGATTTGTGTGAGTATACTATATGATATTTTTACAATGACAGAATCATCTGCTGATGCACTTCTCTGAACATATTCCTGTGTTTAAGTGACACATAGCTATATTAAGACTGGATTCTGTTTAATCTCTGTCATTGATTTAGTTCTGTGATCTTATTTGTTCAAATAAGTATGCTTCAACTATTTAAACTTATAGTTTCTCATTTATAAAACTTATATAAGTGTTAAGCCATATTTTCACAATGAACATTTTCAGTTCCCAAATTCTATGAGGTTTTTTTTTCCTGGACTTAACATTAGTTTCTTTTCTGTTGCTGTAATAAAACACCCTAAAAAATAACTTTAAAAAGACAGGGTTTATTTTGGCTTACAGTTCCAGAGGAGATACAGTTCATCATGGCAGGGGAGACATGGCAGTGAGAGCCTGAGGCTGCCCAGTAGTCAGGAAGTAAAGACAGAACAGAAAGAAAGTGGGACCAGGTTATAAAACACTTAAAGCTCTGTCCCAATGACAAACTTCTCCCAGGAAAATTCCACTTCCTAAAGGTTCCATAACCTTCCCAAACAGCATTTCCAGTTGGAACCAAGTGTTTGAGTACATAAGCCTATGAGGGACATTTTACATCGTAGCCACAACAATTCTGCCCCTGGCCCCCATAGGCTCATGGCCATCCCATGATATAAAATGCATTCAGCCCAACTTCAAAAATCTCCATAGTCTTTAATAGTTACAACACTGTTCAAAAGTCTCTTCTGAGACCCAAGGCAATTTCTTAACTGTGACCTACTGTAAAAATCACAAACAAATTGAATACTTCCTAAATAACAATAGCACAGTATATACATTCCCATTCCAAAAGGGAGGGATGGGGGAATAATGAGAAAAAAAATTGGACCCAAAGAAGATAAAAACCCAGTAGAGAAAACATCAAATCCTATAGCTCCATGGCCAGTGCCTGGGACTTCAGTTTCAAAAGGCTTTTAAGAGGCTCCACCCCTCCAACTCTGCTGCCTGCAGCGCACTTCTCTCTAGGCTGGTTCCACTACCTGTATGTAGCCTTGCTTGGCAGGCATCCCATGACTCTGGCATCTCTAACATCTTGAGGTCCCGATCACAACCTACACTTCACTTTGATAGCTTCACACAGTGCCTCTTGAGGTCTCATTGCCTGGACTCCAACTCGCCACACACTCAATGGCTCTCTGAATTATGATATGATCAACCTTATATCTTTCATGCCTCCAAAACCAGTCCTGTATGGATAACACCACCATATTCTGCTGCTGACTTGTGATGAACCATCACCCCTCTTAGACCACAGCAGGAGCAACTTTTGTATCCTTTTTGTATGCTTTCTTCAAGGAAGCAATTGCTAAAATTAATGCCATTGAACAAATCACTTACAATATAATACAAAAACAAATATAAAAATTTAAATCTGTAGTACCTCCTGAATGATCTTTTTAAAATCAATAGAATTACTCTCTGAAGTAGATTTTATTGTGTTTTATTCTAACAACCCTTTCTATTTCCTATTATTCTTGTTTTATTTGCTGATGAAATTGGGTCATTTATTAAAGTAGTTAATTCATGTGATGATAAAAAGGAATTTTTATATCTTTCCACCATCCATGTTTAATTACCCTCTGTATATCAATCAGTTATTACCCATTATTTAAATTTTCAAAATAATTTATATAACATGGGTATGGTAAAGTAGTTTTCACAGATAAAAGGGCTTAAAGCAAATAGCAAATAAAAATTACCTATCAAATATCAGCAAAATTTATTTCTCCTCTCTCTCTCTCTCTCTCTCTCTCTCTCTCTCTCTCTCT